TTATTTTGATATATCACAGTGAAAGATTTATCGTCCTCTTTTTTTTTTTTTTTTTTTTTTTTTTTTTAAAAAAAAAAAAAAAAAAAAAAAAAGTCATGCACAGGTAAAAGGCCCTCTCAGAGTGCAGAGGAGGGCCAATAGTGTTTAGAGAACAAAATAGAAGCCTTTAAAATCTGCTGCCTTCAGATTCCACATGGCAGCCAGCCTTTAGGGGACACTACTTACCAAGGTTTGACATAATGTCAAAGAAGTATTATCTATAGTTAACAACAGTTTGCTTGCTTGGGAGGAAACAGTTATTATTTTTTAAAAAAATATTATTTTTCTGTGTATGCGTGTATTGCCTGCATGTAGGCACCTATGTGGTGCAATGCCCATGGAGGACAGAAGAGGCTGTCGGATCCCCTGGAATTGGAGTTACGGACAGTTGTTAGCTGCCATGTGGGTGCTGGGGTTCGAACTGGGTCTTCTGCAAGAACAGTCAGTGTTCTTAACCTCTGAGCCATCTCTCCAGCCCCAAAACAGTTATTTTTATAAATAATAAAAATGCTTATTTTACATGAATAAAAGAGTATGTTTTAAAATTTCTCATATGGTAAATATCAATGAAATATGCTGTATAAACCAAAGGTCTTTTTCCAAAAGTGTGAAGAGGGGCTGAGATTAAGCAGTGTGGGGAGTCTTTTTAGACAGCATGTAAGGGTGTTTATTGCAGACGTATTTTCTATTTTGAAATTTGATGTTAAAAATTTTGGTTATTGTGTGTGTATGTGCATGGATTTGGGTGCATGTGTGCCATGGCATATGTGTGGGGGTCAGAGAACAACTTCGTGGAGTCAGTTCTCTTTTGCCACCTTTTTGTGGGTTTTGGGGGATTGAACTCACATCATCAGGCAAGCAAGCGCTTTTATCCACTGAGCCATTTCACTGGTCCCTATTGCCAACATATTTTAAATGTTAACCATCAGTGAAAGCCACTGGTGTTACAATAAGTGGAAAAAAGCTATGTAAAGGATCTGTCTGTATGGTTTGACCCCATTTTTGTAAAACAAATACCTAGTATATGTGAAAAAGTATGGCAGGGTTTATAGCAAAATTGCTATTTCTAAGGAATTGAGATTTAGGTTAGATGGAAAAAACTTTACTTTTTGAGATGAGGTCTTGCTGTATGGACCAGTGTGACCTGGGACTTGTGACCATCCTCCTGCTTCTGCCCCCTGAGTCCTAGGATCCCAGGCATGAGCCACCACACAGAGCTTGAAAACTACATTTGTGATGTCCCAAATATCTTTTTTTTTGGTCTCT